GCATAAAAATGGTACAAATGATTCCTCTTGCAGGTTTTAATAACTGGTTCAAAAAAACTTTTTATCAAATAGTGTATTGAAAGCTGAAAATTAACTTGACTAATGATTAATATGCGTGACTAGTTATATTAATACAGGGCAAAACTCCCTGCGGCGCCTACAGAGTTAGTAGTAACCAATTCCTTGAGGATAACTTCAGGTTTTGGACTGTACTGAGAGTTTGATGAAGAATATTCTTATGAAAAGACTAAACATTTTGTGAAAGTTGATAACACTTTGAGATTCTATTTTTTTGAGGTTTTTTTTGAGGGGAGAAAGGAAGTTGTTTTAAATCTTACTTCCTTTATTTACCCGACTAAGGGTTTAATTCCAGCATCTCTGTGGGAGACATTTCTGAAGACACTGCTCTTTTTTTTCTGGAAACTTTAGATTATTTGGCTACTGTTTCTTTTACTTTTAGCCAAAAGCAATCCTAACTAAAAATACATTAGGGAGTTGTATTGTCTCTCTGGTGTATCCCAATAATACTCAAATAGTGGTTCATAAACTAGTGTTGGTTAAGCACTGTTACTACCAAAATAAGCCAGAAATCCAGAGTAAGCTTGTCTTTTACAGCAGTTTGACATTTTCTACCCATCCTTCCTGGGGAAGTCTCATCAGCAGGGTGTTATGGAACTTGCATGTTGAGCAGATGGTGTAAATACCTACCACTTTTACCCACAGATGTGAGGAATCTTTGGATAGTAGGTTCAGTGATCAAGAGAGAATTTCTAAAATAGTCTCTAACCTCTTGCAATAAAAAAAAATAGGACTAATTGTAGTCAGTCTTGTGACACATATCAGGAAACAGCTAAAAGCTCTAGGCCAGTATAACTAACACAAACATAAAGACCAATTTGCCTTTAATTCTCCTTCTCTTCTATTATTTTTCTCTCTGGGTGGCCTGTGCTTTTTCCTTTCTATTCATCTGACATTAAACATTTTAAATTAATTTATCTCAAGAGTATGTCTGACTCGAATTTGTATTTCCAAGCTCCATTCTGAAATACATAATGTTTTATGAGTGATGGGGTTCCTTTGGTCTTTTGCAGACTTTGTCTACCTAGCCTACTTAAACATCTATCTTCATAATTTTGTCTGATTCACAATAAGTGCTTGTCAAATTTGCAACATTTGTTAATAGATTTATCAAATTAACTCTTGAATATTTCTACATCTTTATTATTCTGTGCTTCCATGTACTTTATCATGCATCCATTAATAATTGTTTTTAGTCATTTTCCTAAGTGCCTTTTAAGGTGGAAATATCCAATGTGATGATGTTAACTGTTAAAAAAAATGAACTCCTGAATATATTAATCCTACTTGGAAATAACTTGTATTTTATATTAAAATTAGGGCAGCTCTGAATGACATCCCTGTTTATAGCTCATTACAGCTGCTGCCTTAGTACGTTTGCTCTGTATTCTAAAGGATATAGATTATTAGAAGCAGACTTTGCTTAACTAATAGCAAAAGATAATGACGTTTTGTGTTGATAATCCATTTTGCTGGATATTTTCCTATTGTCCTTCCAGATCCTCCTTCCATCCTTCTCCACTCTGCCTTGCATCTTATGTCCTTGTAGTTTGATTTAGCTAATGGGAAGCACAGATACATAATTGGAGTTGAGATCACATTTCCTATTTTCTGGGCTCCTTCTTAGCAGGCAGCCTCAGATCAGTTGCATCTCTCCACCAAAGGCTGAAGATTCTTATTAAGCACCACTTCTCTGTTCTTTCTGGGTCCCTCTTCCCTTCAGTCCTGAGAGTGGTAACAGTTCACCCTCTTCTTGCCAGCGCTTGAGAATGGCAGCACCATCATGGGTTTTGTTTTTTTTTTAATTATTATTTTTTACTTGAATAAATCTGACCACATCTTTGGAAAGTCTGTTCAGTTACCCATTTGAGGGTGCCATCTGTTTCCTGCCAGAAACTTGAGTGATGTAATGATCAGTTTTAAAAGTTAGCTATCTTACAAATGAAATGCAGAATAATTCAATATAAATCTGACTTCCCATTTCATTACTTTAGTTTGTGTTTGACTACCAAACACAAATAGTATGTCCTAGTTTTTGCCATACGTGTGTAAAGTATGCTCAAGATATACTTTAAGAGGGAAAAAAATCTGGATGTGAAGGCAAGCAGAGAAAACAATCTAAATAACAAAAAGACAGGAGACATGAAAAGAAATTTACAAAGCACTTTAAAAAACAAAGCATAGAAAAAAGTCTATCGCCCATTTTTTAATCGGGTTTTGTTTTTTTGATGAGTTGTATGAGGTGTTTATATATGTTGGATATTTATCCTTTATTGGTCAAACTATTTGCAAATATTTTCTCCCTTCAGTAGGTTGTCTTTTTGTTGATGGTTTCCTGTGCTGTGCAAAAGTTTTTACATTTATTTAGGTCCCATTTGTTTATTTTTGCTTTTATTTCCCTTGCTTTAGGAGATGGATCCAAAAACATGTTGCCCTGATTTATGTCAAAGTGTTTTGTGTACGTTTTTCTCTAGGAGTTTTATAATATCTGGTATTACATTCAGGTCTTTAGTCCATTTTGAGTTTATTTTTCACATGATGTTAGAGAATGTTCTGATTTCATTCTTTTACATGTAGTGGTTTAGTTTTCCCAGCACAACTTATTGAAGAGACTGTCTTTTCTTCATTGTATATTTCTGTCTTCATTGTCATAGATTAATTGATCAAAAGCGTGTGGGTTTATTTCTGGGCTATTTGTTCTGTTCCACTGATCTATGTGTTTGTTTTTGTTCCAGTACCATACTGTTTTGATTACTGTAGCTTAGTAGTATGATCTGAAGTCAGGGAGTTTGATTCCTTCAATTCAGTTCTTCTTTCTCAAGGTTGTTTTGGCTGTTCTGGGTCTTTTGTGTTTCCATACACATGATTTTAAAATCATTTGCTCTATTCTGTGCACAATGCCGTTGGTATTTTGTTAGGGATTGCATTGAATCTGTAGATGCCTTGGGTAGTATGGTTATTTTAACAATATTGATTCTTCCCCAATCCAAGAACACAGTATATATTTCCATCTGTGTCATCTTAAGTTTCTTTTATCAGTGTTTCAGAGTTTTCAGAGAACAGGTTTTTGCCTCTTTAGAAAGATTGAATCCAAGGTATTTTATTCTTTTTGATGGGATGGTAAATGGGTTGTTTCCTTAATTTCTCTGTCTGATTGTTTGTAGTTAGTGTACAGAAATGCAACAGATTTCTGTGTATTAATTTTGTATCCTGCAACTTTACAAAATTCATTGATGAGCTCTAGTAGTTTTCTGGTGCAATCTTGAGGATTTTCTGTGTATAGTTTCATGTCATCTAAAAACAGTAAAAGTTTTACTTCTTTCTTTCCAGTTTGGATTCATTTTATTTTTTTTTCTCTGATTACTGTGGCTAGGATTTCAAAACTATGTTGAACAAAATTGGCGAGAATGGGCATTCTTGTTTTGTTCCTCATCTTAGAGGTAATGCTTTTAGCTTTTCACCATTGAATATGATGTTAGCTGTGGATTGTCATATATGGCCTCTGTTATGTTGAGGTAGACTTTTTTAGGGGAAATGCAGATGGCCACACAGGCACATGAAAAGATGCTCGAAATCATTAGTCATAAGGGAAATGCAAATCAAAATCAGTGAGATACCACTTCACACCTGTCAGAATGGCCATCATCAAAAGGAACACAACAAATGTTGGCAAGGATGTGGAGAAAAGGGAACCTTTGTACACTGTTGGCTGCCTGTAATTTGCTGCAGCCACTGTGGAAAACAGTATGGAACTTTCTCAAAAACCTAAGAATAGAGATATCATATGATCTAGCAGTTCTACTCCTGGGTATATATTTGAATAAATTAAAAACACTATTTGAAAAGATACATGCACCTTAGTGTTCATTGCAGCTTTATTTACAATTGCCAAGACATGGAAGCAACCCAAGTGCCCATTAATAGATGAATGGATAAAGAAGATATGGTGTGTACACACACACACACACACACACACACACACACACACAATGGAATACTACTCAGCCATAAAAAAGAACAAAACGTTGTCATTTGTAGCAATATGGAGGGACTTGGAAGGCATTATGTTAAGTGAAATTATAAATTAGAAAAAGATAAATACTGAATGATATCACTTATGTGGAATTTAAAAAATACAACAAACTAGTGAATGTGACAAAAAAAAGAAGCAGACTCACAGATATAGAGAAAAAAACTAGTGGTTACCAGTGGGGAGAGGGGTTAGGGATAATGTGGGGGGGGGGAGTGGGAAACTATTGCAGACTGTGGGTATAAGATAGTCTCAAGGATGTATTGCACAGCCTGAGGAATATAGCCAATATTTTGCATTAACTGTAAATGGAAAGTAACCTTGAAAAACTATATAAAAATTAAAGTAAAAATACAGAAATTAAAAAAAATCACTCATATTCCTGCCACCCATAAAAAAACATATAAAACCAGAAAGCATAGTAATCTAATAATGATGGTAAGTACTTACATAGTTTCCTCTATTCCAGGCTCTAGTCTAAGCAATCTATGTATTTTGACCTGTTTATTTCTTATAACAACTCTAATAAGGAGGTACTATTCCCATTGTGCAGGTGAGGAAACAAGCACAGTTAAGTAAATCAGTCTGGTTGTATCCTCTTAATTAATATGCTATGCTATTCTTTGAATAGTTTTGCTGATACGAAAGGATAAGTTTATAAGAGTACTATAATAGAAATAAGAGGGGTTTTCAATTCCAAGTTGGGTTGGACTCCTAGGTCTGACAGTTGAAATCTAAATCTAAATTTCATTCTTTTGTAATGTAATTTTATCCTTAAGCCTGATTTTCCTTATTGCCACCCTTTTCCCCATAAACATGAATTCATATGAAATATGTTATTTGACACTGAGTACATTTGTATTTTAATATAAAATATAACATTTCTCTTCAGGTTTATGATCTGGGAATATGCCTGTTAACAAATCACCTGTGATGAATAAATCTGGAGTAATATCTTCCTCTTACCATGAAAAATCGAAGTAAGTTTGAAAAAATTTTATATTATTAAAGTAGTGAACCTTATATATTGTAGAATTTAGAAAGGGCAGAAAATTGTGAACAGTGAAAAAAAATCACTCATAGTTCTGTAACTAAGGATAAGAATGTGAAGGTTTACTATTTTTTAAATAAATGGCTTCATTGTTTGTAATCTTATATTTTTAAATCTTGAATTGTTTTTTCTTTAAATTAGGCATTTTTCTGTAACTTCAAGGCCTTTTAAGTTGCCATGATAATCCATGAAATGTATAAGAAAAAGTATTTAATAACTTCTGCAATGTGAAGCATTTTAGTTATTTCTTAGCCCTTTGCTGTTTCAGATTTCGCAATGATAGAATGTTTTTCTGCATTTCAAATTATTTACTTGGGATAAAGTTTCTGAAATGAAGTTACTGGATTAAAATTTGTTGATAATTTAAGTATTGTATGTGATTTTAAGAAATTTTTAAGAACTTAAAAATGAAAAATGTAATAGAATACATAATAAAACTTAAATGTTGACATGTTTCAATTATTTCTCTTTAATAAAGAATAGAGCATGTATGACTGAAGCATTATGCTGTACACTAGAAACTGACACAACATTGTAAACTGACTACTATACTTCGATAAAAAATATATATCTATTAAAAAAAAAGAATAGATGAGCAGAGAAACTTGAAGCTCTTTGACCACATCCTCCCAAATACAATAATTGTGGGGTATATCGTATCCTTAATTTTTTCTACTTTAATATAAAACAATGTAAAAGTATATTTTCCATTCCATATCCTAAAGTACATACCTAGGTATGGAATTGTTGGGTATACTATTTACTGAAGAGGATTTACCAATTCTCAGTCTTTAATGATTCGTGATTTTTTTATTTTGGTTAAAAAAACTCTCTCCACCACAAGATCATGTAGATAATATTATACATTATTTAAAAAAATCTTATTGTTTTGTTTTTTATTTAATACATATGGAAATGATTTTTGTTAATGGTGTTAAGCACTGTTGTGCATACCAAACTGATCAACACCATATATCAAAAAGAACATCCTTCTCCACTTACTTCTCTAGTACAACTATTGAATAAATCAAGTGTGGGCTCTGTATTCTGTTTCACTGGCCTATTTGTCCCTTTTTACAATAATGCTACACTGCTTTAGTGATAAAATTTAATAGTCAATTTGATAGGTTTTCCAAATTTGTTCTTCAGTGATACCTTTCGTATTATTTTTATTTAGAAGTTTTTTTTATTGAGGTTTGGGTTATTTACAATATTGTATTAGTTTCAGGTGTACAACCTGATTCAAAATTTAAAGTTATAAAATACTGGCTATATTTCCTGTGCTGTACAATATATCCTTGTAGCTTATTTTATACATAGTAGTTTGTACCTCTTAATAGCCTACCCCTATCATGTCCCTCCCCTCTTCCGTCTCCCCACTGGTAACCACTAGTTCTCTATATCTGTGAGTCTGTTTCTGTGTTTTTTAAATTTTTTTTTGTTTTATTTTTTGCACCCCAATTATAAGTGATAATGTATGGTGTTTGTTTGTTTTTCTCTGTCTGACTTATTTCACTTAGAGTAATAACCTCCAGGTCCATCCATGTTGCAAATTCATTTTTATGGCTGAGTAGTATTCCATTATATGTATATACCGCATCTTCCTTATCTGTTCATCTGTTGTTGGACACTAAGGTTGTTTTCATGTCTTGGCCCTGTAAATGCTGTCAATGAACATTGGGGTGCATGTATCTTTTAAAATTAGTGTTTTCATTTTTTTCAGATGTATACCCAGGAATAGAATTGCTGGATCATAGGGTAGTTCTATTTTTCGCTTCTTGAGGCACCTCCATACTGTTTTCCACAGTGGCTGCACTAATTTACATTACCATCAACAGTAAACGAGGGTTGCCCTTTCTACACATCCTTACCGGCATTTGTTGTGTTCTTTGTGATGATGGCCATTCTGACAGGTGTGAGGTGATATCTCATTGTAGTTTTGATTTGCATTTCTTTGATAATTAATGATATTGAACATTTTCTCATGTGCCTATTGGTCATTTGAATGTCTTCATTGGAGAACTGCTTGTTGAGGTCGTCTGCCCATTTTTGGATTGGGTTTGTTGTTGTTAAGTTGTATGAGCTGTTTATATATTCTGGAAATGAAGCCTTTGTCAGTCACATCATTTACAAATATTTTCTCCCATTCTGTACGTTATCTTTTTGTTTTGCTTCTGGTTTCCTTTGCTGTGCAAAACGTGTAAATTTAATTAGATCTCATTTGTTTATTTTTGCTTTTATTTCTGTTGCCTGGGTAGACAGCCATAGGAGAACATTGCTGATTTATGTCAGAGAATGTTTTGCCTATGTTTTCTTCTAGGATGTTGGTTTATCATGTTTTGTCTTATATTTAAAGTCTTTAAGCTGTTTTGAGTTTATTTTTATGAATGGTGTGATGGAGTATTCTAACTTCATTGATTTACATGTTGCTATTGTGTTTTCCCAACACCACTTGCTGAAGAGACCGTCTTTTCCATTGTATATTCTTGCTTCCATTGTCAAAGATTAATTTACCATAGATCTTTTGGTTTATTTCTGAGCTGTCTATTCTATTCCATTGATCCATATGTCTTTTTTTATGCCAATACCATGATGTTTTGATTACTGTAGCTCTGTAGTATTGTCTGAAGTCTGGGAGGGTTATTCCTCCAGCTTCATTCTTTTTATTCAAATAGATCATTCTGTAATTGTGTTGGTACTTCTGGTGTTTAGGAAGTACCAGCCAGGTTGGTTGATACTCAAGATTTCCATCTATTTCAGTTCACTTTTTTCACCTTCCCATATGCCAAACTGAACAAAAGTATAGCCAGATTAATTTTTAACCCATGTATTTATTACACTATGAAATCTGGATTCTGTTTTTATTTATCTTGTGAAACTACTTTAAAGATCTCCACTGACTTTCTAAACATTAACTCTAATGATACTTTCAGTGTCCATAGTCTTGCTATCTCTGCAAGATGTGCATTTAGATCGTCGTCTTCAATCTATTCTTTGGTATATCAGTCTAGGATTGTTTCTTTGCATGGAACAAGCACACATTCAGCTTAACTCAAACAAAAGAAAAGTGTAATGGAAGGATGTAGGGCTGTCTTGTGGAACCTGAGAGCAGAAGGTATAATCAGGCCTCATTTGTTCATTCAGTACTTACTGTATTTTCTGTAAGAGACATTGGCGATAAAAGAGTCAACAGATGTAGTCTATATCTATACTAGACTGCAAACTCTGGCTATACATCCGTAAACCATCCAACAAATGTTGATCAGGGCTACACCAGTAGGGCTACACTACTTAGTTCTCTGCTTTGGGGTAATTTTTGTCTTGAATGACATTTCAGCAAAGGCACTGCTTGGCTGTACATGAACTTTCAGCTCTAACATTGGCTAAGTAATGTATCAGCTAATTAAAAATCCCTGGAGGGAAGATTGGATTGGCCTAGTCAGATGTCTGTTGTGACCCAGTCAGCCATGGTGGGGGCAAGGGAGGATGGAGTCATATGGTGTTAATATAGAAGTTAGACCCACTGGC